GAGATTTTAAGACTTTGAGAATTTAGGAATTTCATATTTTTAGATTTTAACATCTGAAGATTCAAAGACATGAGGGTTTCTGTCACTTCCCTTTCCTGTAAGTCCGATGAGTAGATGTTAAGATTTTAAAATTCTAAAAAATTTGAGATTCTAAGGGTCTCAGATTTGAAGACTTTCGGAATTTAAGGTTTCAATGGTTTAAGAATTAAGGTTCTAAGATTTCATATTTTAAGAGTTTAAGATCTCAAGATTCTAAGACATAAGGTTTTTAAGATTTCAATATTCGAAGACTTTAGGAAGTTTTTATATTTTTGGATTTAGATTCGTCCTAAGATTTTAAGATCTTGACATTCTAAGATTGATTGTTAGATATTAATTTAAGATTTTAAGAATCTAAGACTTTAGGATTTTGAGATTTCAATCCAGGCCATTTTCCATCCATTTCCATCCACTTTAGATTTTTAGATTTTCAGGTTGCACGTTTTCGGCAAAATTGGCCCGACTTAGGGGACAACATCCCTAGCATCCCCCGCATCGCCAGCATGCATAACATCATCCGCAACATCCGGGATGATGCTGGCAATGCTGGGGGTGTTGTCCAGTATTAGGCACTACCTAAAAATGTTCGTTTTTGGGTGCTGCGGGGAGATGCTACAAAAATCGCCTAAACCAATCCGCCAATCCTTTGCCCCTCATAAGGAAGGCCCAGCCAAAAACGTATGCGCATGGTCCGCGCATGGTCGGCGGCATGGGGCGCGCGGCCTTATACCCTGAAGGTAAGCCCTAACGGGCTTTGGCCTGCGGCCCGATCACGTCCGGTGGCCGGATTTGCACGCTGACGCGACACAGCCGGCCACCGGGCACCCCTTCCCGTTCTTTCATTTCCTTTCCCTCCAAGTCCTGTTACTTCTCGGGATAATTTGCACTTCACTTTCTTTGCATGTCTTCCTTGACAGTTTCCTGGCATGTCCCTTCACTTCCTTCCACTTCACTGGCGTTTCAGCTCCCTTCATTTCCTTGAAGACGCCTTTATTCGCATTCCTTTCCCTTTTCGTTCCCGCTGTCCGGTTCCCTTCACGTTCTGCCCTTGCATTTTCCTGCATCTCGGTTTCTCTCCATTGCCCTCTTCATTTTCGTGCAATTCCTTTGATTTTCATTTCGTTCACTTCCAGTCACTCCTGTTTCCTTGCATTTCCCCTTTAGCCCATTGTTTCGCATCGCCAGCACGCACAACATCACCCGCATCATGCGGGATGATGCTTGCAATGCTGGGGGTGTTGTCCAGTTTCAGGTTCGTCAAGCTTTCTTCAGGCACCACCCAAAAATACTCGTTTTTTGGCGCTGCGGGGAGATGCTACAAAAATCGCCTAAACCAATCCGCGAATCCTTCGCCCCTTATAAGAGTGGGCCCAGCACAAAACGTATGCACATGTTCTGCGCATGGTCGGCGGCATGGGGCGCACGGCCTTATACCTGAAGGTAAGCCCTAACGGGCTTTGGCCTGCGGCCCGATCACGTCCGGTGGCCGGATTTAAGGGCTGCCGCCCAGTGCCGCCGACCCCATACAGTTAAGTACTCCAAAGAGGGCTGGCTTCTTTTTGGCTTGCCTTTAAGGCAACCCAAAAGAAGGGCACCCTCAAACAAACACAGCCGCTAACAGAGCACAAGCAACACGTTCCTTTTGGATGCTACAAACATGGTTGTCCTGCGTAAATGATCGGACCTGTTTATGTAGCTCGTTGGCTCAACCGGTTTGATGACCGTGATGATAACTATCATCGTAGCATCCTCGGCATCACCAGTGCCGGCTAATAAGAGATGATGATGACCATGATGATAGTGAGGATAAGGGTGAGGACTGATGATGATGAGGAAGATCCTGATGATGACTGTGATGATAACTATCATCGTAGCATCCTTTGCATCACCAGTGCTCCCTAATGAGAGATGATGATGACCGTGATGAATGATGACAAGGATGAGGACTGTGATGATAATTATCATCGTAGCATCCTCTGCGTTGCCAATGCTGTCTAACGTTACTTTTGACATGCATATAAGAACAATAACAGAGATGATGATGACCATCAGGATGATGATGAAAAGAGTGATGATGATGCTGATGACGACCATCATCATGATGATGATGAGGAAGATCGTGATGATGACTGTGATGATAACTATCATCGTAGCATCCTTTGCATCATAATAATAATAAGCATGAGGACTGTGATGATAATTATCATCGTAGCATCCTCTGCATTGCCAATGCTGTCTAACGTTACTTTTGAAATGCATATAAGAACAAGAAAGAGATGGTGGTGGCCATCATGATGATGATGAGAAGAGTGATGATGATGATGATGATGACGACCGTCATCATGATCATGGTGAGGATGATCATGATGATGACTGTGATGATAACTATCATCGTAGCATCCTTTGCATCACCAGTGCTGCCTAATAAGAGATGATGATGACCGTGATGACAATGATGATTAGGATGAGGCCTGTGATGAAAACTATCATCGTAGCATCCTTTGCATTGCCAATGCTGTCTAACGTTACTTTGACGACCATCAGCATGATAGTGTGATGATAACTATCATCGTAGCATCCTTTGCATCACCAGTGCTGCATAATAAGAGATGATGATGACCGTGATGATAATGATGACAAGGATGAGGACTGTGATGATAACTATCATCGTAGCATCCTCGGCATCGCCAGTGCCGGATAATGAGAGATGATGATGGCCGTGATGATAATGATGATAAGGATGAGGACTGTGATGATAACATCGTAGCATCCTCGGCATCACCAGTGCCGGCTAATAAGAGATGATGATGACCGTGATGATAATGATGATGAGGATGAGGACGGCTAGTAAGAGATGATGATGATGACCATGATGATAATGATGATAAGGATGAGGACTATCATCGTAGCATCCTCTGCATTGCCAATGCTATCTAACGTTACTTTTGAAATGCATATAAGAACAAGAAAGAGATGATGATGACCATCATGATGATGAGAAGAGTGATGATGATGATCAGATGCAGCGTCGCTCATGATGATCATGATGATCCTGATGATCATCACTACGCATCTCCAGCATCACCAGCAGTTACCGTGATGATATCCTGATGACAATCATCACTATGCATCCCCTGCATGAGCAGCAGCTGTCATAACAATCATGACTAAAATGCATCACTGCATTCCAAGCCGGGTTGAACGGCAAGCTCGAAACGTAGAATGCTGATGATTTGGATGCTGCGAACCCATCACCCAACATCAGTGGTGCTGATAAACATCACGAAGACAAGGACGAATACAAGCCCTTCCCATGCGCCTCCCCTTTGGAGAAAGGGGTCGGCGGATTTCACAGTGAGGGAAATTACCAGGGACACTGGATGATGTATTCCCTATTCAACCCATCTATGACCACTGATTTTGGGTATGAGGGTTGCGCAGGCCAAACAACCGCCCTAAGTATGGAACCTAGGTGGTGAATGCCCATTGCGGGTAGATAACACAACAGCTGTGCCTTGCCATTTGCCCAATTCCCGTGAATCATTTTTCAAATTGCTGTTGTGGCATGCTGCAGTCAAGCCACCCATTTGGGGAACATCCCATACAGAAGTACATCCATCCATGGCCATGGTTCCCCAACTGGAACCTTTGCAACCGTTGTCCAAGGTTTGACGATCCGCACCAAGGAAGAGGGTGTTTTGACCAGAAAACCTTTCCCTTTCCCACGGCCCCTGGGTTTATTTTTCCAGCACGGGCAATCAGCAAAAAGGGAAAAACCTCCCCTCAGTCGGTTTTTCCCACTGAGATCCAAAACAACACAAGGGTTTTTGGTTGGGATCCCAGGCCTAACCATCCTCAGTGTTTCCTTTGCAACTCAAGGTGTTTTTTTGATTTTAGAGTGATTTCCCACTGTTTAGCCTTTTAGATATTTTTAAAGTGGTTGAGTTTCCATGTAAAAGTAACTCAAGAGTGTGATTTCCCACCGGTTAGTTCGGATAGATGTAAAAGCAACTCAAGGTTTTTGTTTGCTTTTTGGAGTGATTTCCCACTGTTTAGCTTTTTCGAGTTTAGTTCGGTTAAGAATGGGAAGGTACCCCTGGAATACCCCCCAAGCCCCCAGCCCCCCAGATCCACTAGACCCAGAAGTTCCTTGTAGCCCAGAAGCCCAGAAGTTCCTCACCAGCGAGCCCCGAGGCTGCGCGGCCCAGCGACGACGCACGCGCCGTGGAGCAGCTGCGCGGAGACGGAGCGCTCCCTGCGCCGCAGCGGCTTTAGACGGAGACGACCCGGGTTTTCCGGGGGCGGGTTTTTTGGCGGGAACGTGGCTTAAAGAGGGGAATTCGTTGTTTCTTTTGGCGCGGCGTTTTGGGGAGGGGAGAGTGGCCTTAAAGAAGCCGTAGGTGTTTTTTTTTGGGTTGGAGAGTGGTTGGGAAGTGCTTTTTAGGATAGAATTAGATTGATTTGATTGGTGAAGCTTGATTGGCTGGAATTGGTAGGCACTGGTTTAGATTGGTTGGAAAGCAGGTAGGGCCATCGAGCTTTCCGAAAGGTCACCCATGGAACCTGTTCTTTTTTGTAACCAAGCTGCCGAATATGCGGGCGCCGTGTTGCCAGCGCTTTAGGATGTGTTCCATTGAAGGACGGATGTCCTGCCATAGGCACAACCCCTTTTTGGAAGACCATTTCATGGAGTTCGTCCAAAACTTGTAGTTGGGGGACAACCCAAGCTAGTCCCTCCAAGAGGATTCTTTTTTGGATGCTGTTCCTTTTAAGAGCCGCCGTAAAGACTTTGGCACCAGAGTAGTACATGGCTTCAGATCAGCGCTTGCTTTGTTGGTTTGCAAAGACTCCACAGATCTCACTGTGTTTTGAGGATGTTTTGCCTTAGAGCTTCTCTGTGGCGTTGTTGTGCCTTTGCAGGCTTCGCCATAAACATACCAAAGGCAGGGAAGATGAACCAAGCGACAGGATGAATCGGCCAACCGGCGATAAAAGGTGTGACTCAGAATCGGCAACTTGAGCAGGAAATGGTGAGACCATCACTTTGGAACAACGCACCTCTGATTTGTTTGCGGGGAATCTATCCAAGAAAAGGCGACCCGGCAATGGGTGTTGTGTGCGATCCCTGCACCACACACCGCAATAATACATACTATGTGCGTCACTTCAAGCATTGGCAAGGGCCAGGAACTTGTGCCTTCAGATGGCCACATGGGGCAGCCCTTTCAGACACTATGTACAGGGGCCAGTCGCAAGTGTTATAGGAACCTTGTATGGTTTGCATGTGTTTTACCCTAGCAACCTGTCATGTTGGTTTCTTTTTCAATACCACCCTAATAGACAAGTGTTCTGTAGATCCACAGACAATCAGGTGTTTCCATAACACGGGAACTACAGCTTGGTGTCCCGCTGCAGTAACGCCATCCCCGGAGGCTCCCCCAATTTGCTGGTTCGATAGGCAGGACATGAGGAAATGACCCCCTTTTTTCCCATCCCCTGCAGTTTCCTTCAACTAGGTCCCCCAGTAGTGCCCTTTTACCCTTTTTGGGGGGGTTCCGCTACTAAAATAGACTACAGAAGAAAGTTGGACCCTTATTCTAACCTCTCTACTGGAGGACCTAGTTAAGGGTTTCCGGCTCACCCCAACACTCGGAAGGCTGAGCACCAGCAAGTGTCGGCCAGCAGGTCGTTGGTTGCCTGGGCCTGTGCCAAGCTGACGGAGAATTCTCTGCCGCTGCTGGATGCGGTTGCGTCTGGGACGATTGACGATTGGTTTGTGGGTTTGTGTGCGCGTGCGCGTGTGTTTGCGGTTCTTTGTTGGTTTGCCTGTGTGTGTGTGTGGGTGGGTGTGTGTGTGTTTGTTTTTTGTTGGTTTGTTGGTTTGCTTGCTTGCCTGCTTGCATCAGGTGTTTGTGTTTGTTCGTGTTTGTTCTTTCTTTCTTTATAGGTGTCTTTTCGTTTTGTGTATTTATTTATTGGCATTTTTGGTTCTATTTGTGTTGTTTCGCTTTGTTCTGTGTTGTCGTGGTTTGAGCCACAGCTTCATATAGCTTCCGCGCCCAACCGACCGATTGACACCTCCCCAGCCCCGCCGTAAGAGGGCACACATTCATCAAAACAAGACTTGCGGGTGGGTGTGTCATTTTTTTGCAGGTTGGATGCGGTGTTGGTTGGCTGGGTGGGTATGGGCAGGTGCGCGGGCGGGCTGTTGGTTCGATTGTTTGCTTGTCGGGTTGCTTATGTGTGTGTGTGTGTGTGTGTTAGTGTTTGTGTTTTTTTGTTTATGGCTGTCGCGGTGGTGGTTTCTTTATTTAAATATTTGCTTGTTTGCTTTCTTTGTTTGTTTGTTTCTGTCTTTGTTTGATTGCGTGGGGGAGTGTTTGTGTGTTTGATTGTGTGTTTGTTTGTTTGTTTGTTTGTTTGCGTGTGTGCGTGTGTGTGTGAGTCAGTGAGTGTGTTTGTTTGTGTGTTTGTGTGTTTGATTGTTTGGTAGTTTGTTTGCTTGCTTGTTTGCTTTCTTGCTTGCTTGCTCATGTTCGTTCGTGTGCGGTGTGTGTTTGTGCCATGGTTTGTTTGTGTGTGTGTGTGGCGGATTTGTTGTTGTGTTACTTGTTGCAAGCCAGCATTGCGCATTGAGGTTTGCTTGAACGAACCGAGTGATGAGATTGAGCATCAACATGGGAAGTCGGACACAGAAGCGATCCCATGTGGCCTTGTAGAGCCTTCCCCAGTGTATGTTGCTTTCTTTGCAGCCATCCACTTGCTTCAGGGCAACACTGCGGAGAACAAAGTTCGTGCAGCATTTGCAGGGTGTTCATTTGGGATAGGAGAACAGGTTGAAGGCGAAGGCGGTGCTGGAGTTGTGAACAAGCATCAAGGGATTCAAGCGACATACTGCGCGCTACATTCCAGCTCTTTGGGGTATCCACAGATCCATGTGAACCTGCCCATGAACAGCTAGGATGAACATGCCGTCTGGCGACTTGGGCTTGCAATGCGCTCACTCCTGACAATGACCCCCGAGATGTAGGGACTTTGATATGTCTCTGCATAGAAAGCCTTCGTTCGCTGCATAGAGCAAGAGAGAGAGAGAGAGAAAGACCGGAGTGAATCTTAGCTTCCATCAACACCACAAGGCGCCAGCGCCACAGACATCAATCTCACCACTTACTTCCTCATTCCCTGTTCCACTTACAGCTGTAGAGCTCGAATGTTGGCAGCCTGCAAATTCTTGCTTGTTCTCAGGGAATGCGCGAATGTTCCTTCTAAACCATCCTTCCAGTGGTTTCATTTCTTCGGAAATCCCCCTTCCCCCGGTTCATTCCCATGACTCGTTGTCATTCCCATCGCACGGAGGCCCTCGCAGCTGAGCATCGAAAGCCGGAGACACCGTCCCAGCACTTGGTCGACCTGGTCTGGGCCTTTGCTGTTTGCGCGGCCAAGAGCGCACCGCTGCTGGCCGCCCTTTCAGCGGAGCCTTGGCGAGGAAAAGACCTCCGGTGAATTCCGACGGAGAGAATGGAGGAAACATGGACCTTCTTTGTCAAACTAGATTTTTCAGGGGGCTCTTCCTTACTCTACAGTCTAGTTGCTGAAAGACCTTTGTACAACTAGGGCACTCCTTTCCCTTTGGTTTGTTTGGTGGGTTCTACTAGAAAAAATGAATCCGCTTGGCAGAAGGGCGCCCCCGTACTTGTACGGGATGTGTCAAGAAAGAGGGGACCTCCCCAACACGGGCTTCGGTTCTCCTCTTGACTTTAGTCCGTACCGATCAAATCGACCCGAGAAAAGGGCGTCCATGCTTGTTCTCAGAAGCTCATTGCCCAACTAGGCCATGCTTCACTGAAGGAAGCCGATCATGATAAACAAAGGACACTAACGTGTCATGAATCCGTAGCTCTTTGCCCCCCAGCTCTCCCGACTTCGTTTCATACTGCTTGCCCTTTCTGGGCTTGCCAAGCTGGGTGTGGTCGTGGAAGTGAACGCGCCTGACAACTTTGGGCTGAGAGCTGCATTTGCATTGGCCGGCTCAATTCAGTGGCGCCTGTTGGGGTGAGAGCTGCATTGGCCGGCTCAAAAAGTCCGTGCCTCAGGCAGCACCAAGCCTTGCCAGTAAGTTGTCTTTGCTTGGCAGTCACTGGGATTTGGCTTTGGAAACTTGTCAGGAATCCAGCTCACTGAGTTCCTGGACTTCAAGCTTTTTGGGCTTGGACCACACGCGGTGAATAAAAAGGTTTGGACCTTGTTTGACCTTGTTTGAGAGTTTTTGGGGTCACTGGCCATAGCTTTACTGTTCTCAAACTCATGTTGTGCCCAACACCACTTGGAAGCTTGGAATCCAAGGACAAAATGGCGATCTCTGGCGATCCTTCTGGTTGGCCTTTATTAAACTAAAGGTTCCGCGAAAGAAACACCCAATAAAAGCTAAAAGGGCCTTTAAACCGTCAAAACGGGGTTGGGCTCCGAACCAACTTACCTCACAAGATCATCTTGTGTGCATGAACAAGTCATATTTGTGTCGCCCCTGGCATGTTTTTTTGCTTTTCCTCACCATAAACCACCATTTGGGGTGGTTGGTCGTGGGTTCTAATTCACCCTGACTTCTTTTTGTGTGTGGTTTTCCTCCGGATCGTTTTCTTGAGGACCCCAGCCTTTTCGCGCGTTTAAACCGCGCGCGCGCGCGTTTTTTTTGTCGCCTGAGGAGGCGGAGCTGCTCCTGGCCCCAGCGGAGCGTTCCGCGCGGGAAGCTGCCAACACCACGTGGGACCGGGGAGTTGGTTGGCCGAGTTCCGGGCCCTCGGGGCAGGGGTTCCACTGACTAGGCGGTAGTTGTTTTCGTTTGCTCTTGCTTCTTCCTTTTTTTGTATGTGTTGTGTTTTCTTTCTTTTTTTGTGTGTGTTTGTTGTTGTTATTGTTTTTGTTTCTCGTTGTTTTTTCTTTCTTTGTTTTTGCGGGTGACAGTCGGAGGGCTCGCAACTTCCTTTAGGTTTTTGGGGCATGACCAAACCCATGGAGGAGTTGCAACATCTAGCTTGTTCGCAGTAAATCTAGGGGTGCCCTTCGAGGGGTGAGTTATACATTGGTTTTGGAGTGTGACAGAACGGCCTCATTAGACTGGGGGTTGTTGGACTGCTGTCCAACCAAGTTCAGTCAGGATCATAACACCACGTTAGTTATTATTTCAGCCCATGATATTGAAGGTGTCTTTCTATTTCCCGTCCTCCACCTTTGTGGTCAATTGAAGAGTTCCTTTTTGGTTGATGAGGTGAACAGGGGGCATGTAAGGAGCTCACTCAACGCTGGCAGACCACCGGACCAACAAACGCCTCTGTCCCCCTCCCCTCTTCATCGTCTTCATGGGGTCTACCATGAGCTCTTGGAGTCGCTGAGTTTGACCATCAACATGTATACCAAATATATATGGTCATGGGTCAAAATCCCGTACCCCCAGTGAACATCCCAATCCCCACTAAAATAGGTTCTAAAATGGGTGGTGCACCTACCCCAAAATGGTACCATTGGTTTTGACCCACAGCCTTTTTTGTGTATATCTATTATGTGTATAGATATATACGCAGCCTCTTACAGTCGCGGACACAAACGATACGGGCTCCCCTTGTACTTTGGAATCGTCCAAACATTCAATCGCAAGACGTGTCATGCTACTTCCATTGTACCAAAGCAGTTGCTATGACTACTGGGGACGCGTACCCAACCACGCAATGTCAATCAGTATCAATCTGAGAGCTCGCGAATCAACAACCCTCCACTTCTGTTTAGGGAGCAGGACACCGAGTTGCATGCAACTCATGCCAGATGATGCCAAACCGGGCACCACTCCTGAACGCTTGTGGACGTCTTTGTCTTGCTTTCAGCATTGCACGCCTATTGTCTTAGAATGATTTGTTTAGGCGCGAAAGGCATTCGCAATGCACCCAAAGCGATCGGATCGCGCCTATTGGGTTCAGGAGTTTACCACATCAGTCATGGAGAATGAAGCTTTGATTGCTGCCACGCATGTCCGGAGCTTAGTTTGGGGCGAGATGGGAGCGCTGTTCAAATGCGTGCTACTTCGACCATGCTTGGTGTCTTTATCGATTTGTGTTGGAGCTTGATTTTGACAGGGCATCTGGTACGGCGGGACAGACTACTTTGCAAGGGTGTGTGCGTGTGTGCGGGTGTTTTCATTGATCTCCTTCCGCGTGTTGTTTGCTTTCGTTGCTTCTGTTATTCTTGCTTTAAGTGTTTGCGTGTTGTTGTATGTTTGTTTGTTGTTGTTTTTTATTGTTTGCATGTTGGTGTGGTGTGTGTTTCTGTTTGTTTGCTTGTGTGTTTGTGTGCTTGCTTGGTCAGTTGTTTGATCAATCGGTTGATGTTTGTTTGCTGGCTTGCTTGCTTGTTTCTGTGTTTATTTCTTTTTATCGTCTTTATGTCTTTCTTTAGTTATGTTTTCTTATTTGTGTTCCCTTGTCAGCTGTTTTTTCTTCTTGCTTTATTTGCTTCTTTGCTTGCTTGGCTTGCGTGCCTGCTTGCTGGTTTGGTTGGTTGGTCGCTTGTTTACTTGTATGTGTCTCCTTTCATTGTTTTTTGTTTGTTTGTTTGTTTGCTCGCTTGGTTGGTTGTTTGTTGTTGTTTGCTCGATTTTTGTTGTGCTGTGCTGTGCTGTTCGGTGTTGTGTTGTGTTGTGTTGTTTGCTTGCTTGCCTGCTTGCCTGCTTGCCTGCCTGCTTGCCTGCCTGCCTGCCTGCCTGCCTGCCTGCCTGCCTGCCTGCCTGCTTGCTTGCTTGCTTGCTTGCTTCGACACGAATGATCCCATGGAGTTGACTTAACGCCCAACAAAGCCAGAGTGCTGATGCATGTTCAGAGCATTGCATGGATGAAGCTTGGGCTGTCTCTGCAACTCAACGCCTTCGTTTGCGCGCAAACAATTGCGCAGCGCTGTGCATGGAATTGGAATTGCGGTGGGCGCGTAGAGCAAAAGCAAAGCAACTTGACTTACTCGCATTCATCCTCCAGACCAGGTTGGTGGTGTCTTGCACCATCCACTATGAGGGAGCCAGTTTTCGGAAATGGGGGCATTGTTTGTTTGTTTCCCGGTGTGGGAGGGTTCCCATGGAGCTGTGTGCTGAAGAACCCAACCGAAAACCCAAAGCGGATGGAAGTTTCCATATGCAACACCCAGATTCGAGACTTTCATTTGCTTAAGAGTACTTCCTTAGCACTACTGGACATATTTTTTAGTTTTTCCAGGGGTCTGAACCACATGGAAGGAGCGACACACCCACTTGGTCAACGTCCATGCGGCGCCAGCCCAGGTTGCGCCACACGCCCGCAGAGAGGCACGAGAGTTCAGGGGGCCATGAGACCGGGGTGTGCCCGTGGGGCACGGAGTCCCTGGCTCTAAAGGGAAGGCAGAACGGAATGCCCCGTTTTGTGGAGGAGACTGAGTTTGACGGCTTCTAGGTCCCCCAGCAGTGCCCTTTTTGGAGGACCTAGGCATTGAAGGGATGTCAGAACGGAAACAAACGCGCCTTGGGTGTTTTGTCAAGGGGAAACCGAATAGGCAACAATCACGCTCTTGGATGGTGTCAACGGGAACCCCAGACTTTTCGCAAGATAAAAATAGAGAAACCAAAAGGAAACCAAGCATTTTGGGGATAACTTATTTGAGACAAAGCCGCCGGGGCATCCAGAGTGTTCTGAGATGGCGGAAGCCAAGACCGTCCGTCATGAAAGCAGGAAGAGCATGATTGCTGGCTCATCGGTAAGAACTGGTAGGCTTGAGTCTCCAGCTTTCTTTCAACTGGGACTCCCCTGTGCATGCTCAAACCCCATAGAACACTGTCCGTCAGCACATCCGCAGTCACTTCAGTTGGCTTGTGCCCGTTGCCACCTGTGCAATTGGCAATTTGCAGCGTGTTTGCCTTTGAGCCCTTCAACCCCCCGAGAGATTTACTTCACAGGATCCCTTTCTTGTCCCAAGATCCCTTGCCATTTTGAACAGAGAGCAGCATGAAATCAGTCATTTGGGAAGAGGGCCCTATGAACTCCCCTTCTGGATGATTTACCACGTAAGCTCTTGGGGTGCAATTTCGGGTTGCTACGTTGCTGTCTTTTTTCTCCGCGAGGGGATGTTTTGGGGTTTTGGCGAGGTCCTTCTCAGGCAACAACCCAGCGCGCCTGTGATCAGGTGGCGCACCCTCGCCGGCCGCTTTGGGCGGACATCCATGATGAGGAGCCAGAGGCGAGCTCTTGCGCCACGAGAAACGAGAGCGCTCCGCATAGCTTCGGAGGTCCGCATGTTTTTTGTGGTGCAAAACGGCGGTCGGAGGATTTCCTTTTGATATCCAACAGTCTCATTTCGGTGAGGTGTGAAAGGGGCAGGAGGAATCCCATAGGCAAGTCTGAACATTTTTCGCCACCTTGCAATGGTTTGAAAGGGAAACGGAAAGGAAATCAACCCTCTGGATGGGCCTGATATTTGCAGCCAAGTTGCTTGCGTCAGCCGAATGACGCGAAGACCCCTGACCCATTGCGCTTTCGTCCATCTTCCAGCTGATTTTACCTTTGCGCAGAAACTTGCTTGCTGTCCCCGTTGTCCCTTTTTGGTCTAAACACCCTTCGCCTTTTGTGGCATCTTCCCAATAAGACCTTTCAGCTTAACCCCTTGATAACCTTTGGCATCCTTCCAGCTTGGACCATAGCTGTCCTTTTGGTTGATTTGCTTGAACAATAGGTTTGGCCATGGTTACCTGGTGGTTCAATCAAGGGAAACCCATCTATTTAACCCAAAAACGGCACCTACCGGAAAGGCCCAGGAGCTCCCGCGCCGGAAGAAGTCCTCGCCGGCGCCGCCGCTGATCTCCTGGCAGGACCCCCGAGTCGCTGGACGTGTCGCCGGGGTCTGCGTGGATCTGTGCCGAAAGAGGGATCCGGACCACACAAAACGGGTGGGTGTCCCTTCGGTGTCGCCTTACACCCACAAAGAGCCTCAAAAAAAGCACAGACACCGAATAGAACCGAATCAGAATATGTTGTTTTGATGACTTTGGTGCACCCTGCGGTTTGGCCAAACGTGGTCCTTGGAGGACGACACCACTCCTCGGCCCATGAGCTTGCAGACTTGCATTAGGCATCATAGTCCAAAAAATATGCAAGTTTCGGAAGCTTCGGAGCCTGTTGAGTTGGCCAAAGCATTGGCGCAACACTCCTCCCGTTGCTATCCCTAGAGACCGCTGTTCGTTGGTTGCGGTCTGGAAAGGCAAGAGTGTCGATGATCACAGGAAACTGTTGGGGCATTTGTTGAGTCGGCGGCCCGATGCCTGATTGTGAGAATTCGGTTTGTTGCAGGACCCTGCCTAACCAAACTTAAAGCAGAACTATGGCACATCGTATGCCTCATTTGAGACTTGCGCACCCTCATTTACTGGAAATTCCTTCTCTTTTTACATCCGAGTGTATGATCCGGCAGGTTCGCTCACGTGTCCCTTTTCCGGTTTCCTTTTTTGGGGGGGGGCTTGGTGTATGATCCCGGAGGATTGCTCACGCTTCCCTTGCCGGTTTCCTTTTTTGGGGGGGTGGTGGGGTGGGGGGGCTTGACTTAGCATCCGACAGGACCCGGACCCGGAAGAGTTCTCGGAGGGCAGTGACTGGGACGCGCCCCAGGCGGCCGATTTGTCGCGTGGGATTTCCGTGTCCGAAATGTTCGTTGGGCGCCCAAAGACGGCACGCATTTCTTCAGGTGTCCCTTCAAGCCAGCCCCAAACTGGATAGCCTCAAGAAGAGAACGCCCTGGTTTTCGCTGAAAAGAGTGATTTTATAAACATCATATCACGTTTCGGAGAGACCGATTCGAAGTGGATGGTGCAATCTCGGACATATGCGGAACCCTGACGTTCAGAAGTTTCCTCGCACTTTTGGACCCCACACAGCTTTAAGGACTCGTAGATTTGTCCTGACTGAGTGCTGGGTGCCTGTCGGTTGCGGGTAGGTGTGAACAGTGTAAACTGTCACTGAAAGTCGCTTGTAAGTCCGCACGGCTGCACTATTTTGCTACTTGCTATAGTGGTATCTGGATCTGTGTGTTTTATAGCTCTGGGAAATGGATTCTAATTACTTTACCATAATACACTGTGTTGAAGGCAGTGGCAAACTGCCACATGTGCAATGTGCGTGCTCTCGCTCTAGGTATGTATGTTAACATCTTTACGACCCTTTTGAAGGATGTGTCGTCACAGTTGATAATCGGAAACGTGTGAATGTGGGTGGACCTTGTTCAAACATTGGGTTTTGATGAGGTTTGTATGCAAACCATCTTTTCTTTTTTTTACGAAAGAAAAGAGAACAATGCGTCAACCCATGTTTGTTGTTCGTTGTTCCCCTCCGCTTTGCAAGCTGAGCTCCTTCCTCCAGGGATCACGCCAATGCCAAGATGCAGGCGGGAGACGTTTGCTGTGTGCAAATGGGTTTTGATGGGTTCAGGCCTTTTGGGGGATTATTCAGGAAGAAAAACCAGCACAACACCTGCCATTTGGAGACTCCCCTGATTTTGACATGCCGATCTGGGCATTTGATCTGGGCATATTGCCCTGAAAGCATCAGTTGACTTGAGAAAAGAGGCAATGAGGACAAGTATTTTGGCCACGAAGGTTTGATGCCTAGGGCCACCTCTTGGCATTTGGCCTCAACTCAGCCACCTCCAATTTGGGGTTGCGGCTGTCTCGCAGTGCGGGATGAGCTTCGGAAAGCAATTTCTGTGACCCAGAAATGCCTGTGGCTCAAAAACATGTACCAAAATGGCACCTTGGAAAATGGAAAAGACTAAACCCGCGTAACCCTAGCTCTTGAATTTTGAGCCACCGCCAAATGTTTTTCACATTTGGTCCTTTCAGCCAGAAAATAAGCCAGAGATCTCAACTGGGACCTCGGCTTCGGAAGCTTTATCTCATTTTGACCTGGTCTTCATACCGATGTTTTTTTTTTTTTTTGTGAGACAATGGTGGTTTTGTTTTTTTGTTTCTTTATTGTGAGACCAGGGAGTTTTGGGGGAGTTTTGTTTGGACCAGGTTGTCTCGCAGGGAGTTCTTGTTTGTGTCGTGTTTGTGTCCATTGCTCCGAGACATACTCCCTGCGAGACGGATGACAATATGGTTTCGATGCCACCTAATGCATCTCGATATCTTGCAAGAGACATACTTTGACATCAAGCTTACATGACTTCAACTCGCTTTTGTTTGGCATCGGCTTGCCTGAAGTGTGCTCATTCTCTCTAGGGCATTAGTTTGCCCCCCCACCCCCACCCCCCATCCCCCCGCAGAGCTAGGGCTAGCTTTGCCCCCAATAAAGTTCAGAGGAGGCCACAGAAGTCCGCAATGGGATCGACAGAAGCAAGGCTCCAAACTGCCCCTGTAGACTTACACCTAACATGTGAGAAGTGAGAAGTGACTGGGTCAACCCTAAGGACGGCTGGGCGCTGTGGGTGCACACTTGTGCAACTCAGCAAATCGTTCTTGGCCAAACCTTTCTCAATTGGCAGCAGTTGCTTCTTTGCAGTCTTGCATGCAGGTGCAACGATCAATGACTACTCAACACATATTTGTTCTGATCATTTGTGGACAATGTGCACGATCTGTTGACGTGTGTCTGCCAGCTTGTGTCGCGGGTACTCACCAGACAAAACTGCAAGCACGCAAACATCTAGAGCCAATCCTCCGCCTAACGATGGACATAAACACCATACGTTTGACTGCACAAAGCACGAACTCATGCATAGGGAAACAACTCTTCGCCACAAACATCGACCATAGGACACTGAAGCAAGGTCTCAGGCACCCTGTGGCCCTGCCACCAAGGGGTCCCCCTCCCCCGTCAAGCTGTTGCACGCGCAGTACTAGTATTGACTGCGCCTTCCCTCCCAGTTGAGCCTTCATCGCGGGTCTGGACGTCCCGCAAGGTGGGAGAGTTGAACAGATCAGCTGTGTTTCTGACGGGTGATTGGGGCTCAGCGACCTGAGATCTTGAGGTGGTGGCGTGAGCCAATGTTGGACTTGTGTTCTTTCGTGATTTTGACGAGGTCTGCAGTACTAATGTCTGAAGCCCAATTGCCAGCATGAGCTGGTCTTCGTACTCCTTACCGCCTTGGCCGAAAATACGGGAGACATTGTGCGAAAAGACCATGGCCTGAGACATGTTAGGGTCGGCTGCTTGCATGTTTCCGGGGGGGGGGGGGGGCAACGTTGTAAGTTCATGTTTTTTGTTGAATCAAGCGTAAGATTATGTAAGACTACCGTAATGCGTCTTCAGACATGAAAACACACCTTTCAATCGTCCCGCCCCTTTCAGCAGGGGACGGATGTCATTGTCATACTGCTTGTTGCATTTGCGCCGCAAGTCTTTGACATGTTTGCATTGGCCGTTTTGAACCCGGTGCATCTGAGCTTACAATCGCTGCGCCTGACACCAAACCAAGGAGGGACCGCCCCAAGCAAAAAGCATTCAAGGCGAACCACCCCTTGTTGTGGGGGATCCCCTTGAAGAGACACTCCTACATGGGCGAGTCTGATTTTTTGGATGAAGTGCATGTTTGTCATGATTTGCACTTTCTTTTGCGCAAGACCCGCGGTAGGAAGCAACATCTGCGGATTGATACATCCCGAAGTCTGACCCGACAGCAACTGTTCTTGGGAGACCATGGGCTGATGACCTAAAAGACTGTAACTGGAGAAGAAACAATCTGCACAGAAATTCGGACACCGGATATGGCTATGAACTTGAATGGAAAACCGCTCCCAAATCGTTGGACAGAGATCCCGACCAAAATGCCGCCAAAGGACGCCCCTTATTAAAATTCACACCATTTCACACCCATATGACCCATGTTGTAGCTTAGTATGCTAACTCTAAGGCGTGACTGGACGTATAACGGAGATATCAGGTGCAAGTTGTTGGGTGCAAGATGTGGCCCCCCTGAACCCTGGGTGTGATTCTGAACCGGCGCTCCCTGCGAGGTCTGCAGCTCTTCGCAAACAAGGTGATGCAGCATGCCATTGTAACACACGCCTTCCAGCCTTTGAAGATACTTACCCTTCCGCCTTGCCCCATCCGGCAATTTGTCTCGAGGCAATGTTGGTAGAGCTTGCAAGGCTCGTGCGGATTGAATCCACCTAAGCCACTCCCCGCTGGCATTACAAACACGTGTTTACAACGGAACTTCGTTGATTGCCACGGTGCGGCATCCATGCTGTTTGCAACACTTTGATGTGTCAGGAAAAGCAGAGGGAGAATCATGTTCGCTCGGATATCGTCGACCAATCTGGGCTAACCCGTCGGCCCTGGGTGTCTATGCGCGCAGACGCCCACCATGCCTGTTGTGAGCGTTGCGCGCGCGCAGGCGAATCCCGAAGCCGCCCGTGACGAAGTGAGAGGAAAAAGATTAATTTGACGGCGGCGGGGGCAACCCTTGGTTCAATCGCCTTGGGGAAAATTGGCACAGCCAGGATTTCTCGGGCCAAAATCCAGAAGGATGGATATCAAGCCAAGTGGTCGACCTCTCGGCCAAAGGATTCTGCAGTGGAAACGGAAATCGGCATGTTGATCTTTTCGTGGATCAATATCATTGGTGACGCTTAGGGCCCCAAGCAAAGGTTGACTGCCAGTGTGTAAAAAGGTGTGTATAGATGGTTATCTCGATGCGTGAAACATTGTGTTTCTGGATTGGCACATACTCCCAAATGTGCGCAATAATATGGCGTGTTGCTCTCAAATGCGAGCCTGAGAAGTGCAAAATGAATAGATGCTACTGATGGCATAGCACTTTGTACCGCAGGAGATCCTCCCCACTACTTGGACAAGAGACATGCGCCGGCTTAAGCAAGATTGGACAGGAGCCTGCATATCCAAATGATGCTTTCTGTTGACTCGCGCAATTCAACTCAACTGAGCACGCTGCCTGACTTGTGAGGCGGGGAAGCTTGGTGATGGTTTCCTCAATCATGTGTTTGATCCGGACAAGTGCAGTAGTGTTAGAAGATTATATACTTGTGGCAAAGGTGCGAAAGACAAACCTCAGCTTGGCCAGTCCGAACAAGCTCCATCGAGCACCCTGGAAGCCTCAGAGCTCGTGTGATTGGAACTGAGAAGAGTGCTCTTTGTATATTTGGCTGTGGGTCAAAACCGTTTTGGATCCCATTCTGGTTGGTAGGTGAATTCGCCACCCATTTTAGAACCTATTTTAGTTGGGATTGGGATGTTCACTGGGGGCTAACCCGGCTTTTGACCCGTGGCCTCTGGTCACCACATGCCAGTGTGTTCAGGCTGCCATTTTGGCGCTGAAGTTGGGCCTTGCGTGTGGGAAAGGCCAAGAGGCCAAGTCCGGGATCAGCGTATCACCCGCCACGCCCACAGCTTCTGAGCCTCAGGCTTGAGCAGATCCTCTGAAAACTTCTTTCCGTGGACTTTCTTTTTTGTGCAAACGTTCGCTTGATCCCATCTAGGTCCCCCAGTACCCTTTCTCACCGTTTCTTCTTTGGGGGAGGCTTCCTCTACTAAAATAGACTACAGAAAAAAAGGTGCCCTTATTTTAACCTCTCTACTGGAGGACCTAGCCATCATTGTCACGTGTCAGTTTTCTGCGTAGACCTTCCGTGGCCCCTTTTCGCAAGAGACATTGTCCAGAGTTTCTAATTTAGTTGCATTGGACAGAGGGAGGTCATGGCTGACGACCCATTCGAATCTTTTCGCTCCTGGCCATGGACACATGGCCATTCCGGCTACCAGGCCTCCGATGCTTTCGGGAGAGCCATGAACCTGTGCCCCCCCCCCCCCCCCCCGCAAACCCCTGTCCCGTTTGGCCATATCATCTAGTGCAGGCTCCATTTGTTTGCCTCTTTCAGTCTTTCAGAAATGATATGCTCATGGTGGCTATAGTGATGTTGATTTTGCCGGTGCTCCCTATGCTTTCCGTGCCGGGGATGCTTGACTGGTGTTGTTTCTGGCATATGTGGTTGTCCCCTTCCTCAAAAGATGATTTGACATCCTTAAGGTAGGAGCCTACCGAGTCACTCCATGTATTTTTGCATGATGAATATCCGCCACAAAATAGTGTTAGTGTTGATGCTTCGAGGTGTTGCAACATATCTTCATTTCGAGTCTTGCCCACAATGTCAAATTCGCACGCCGTTTCATCCATACGCGGGACAACAGCGGCTGTTCCAGGCAAGTCGGGAGCGTGCTCGGCAGGCCGGTGGGTTCTGCCGGGAACTTGCTCATGGTTGGCTCCTTGTTGGCGTGTGCTTTCTTGAGGGTACTCGTTCAAGGTTGTTTTGAAGGAAATCCGTAAAACCAAACGGAAAACCACCATTTTTTAGTTTTGGGCCACGAATTTTACCCCTGCCCATGTCGGTAGCCGTGTTTTACCCACTAAGGATGGGCCACTGAGAGTGGGCCAGAAATAAGGTCTCGGCCTAGCCAGACCTGTTGGAATAGGCTGAATGCAGGCTTGCCATTTGCTCAGAGTCTCGAGAGACGTTCGAAATATCTATTCGGAGTCCATGAACGTAGCATACGACCGACAGTGCCAGCTTGGCAATCCTTGCCAACAGGATTGGGCATTTCCTGTTGTCGAGTAATTCAATCATGAAGAAGATTGGCCTAGTGTTTGACTTCAAAAGCTGATCGTTTTTGTTGCGCTCGCGCTGTCCTTGGTAGGAGATTGCATGGAGCATGTACGTCCTCAAGCATGACAAACCTGATGCCCATACAATCAGAGCATCCCTTCAGAGGGACAACCGGGACAGCCGCTCAACACGGACAGATTGGCAGTGTATCCATGGCCAGGTAGGAGACCGAGGTGAAAAGACGTCATGCTCTTCAGACCGCCTATAGCTTTGTTGCCCAGTGGTGCCCTTTATTCCGACTTTTTTGGGGTAAGGATTCCCCTTTAAACTCAACCAACGAAAAAAGGGTGCCCGTTTTTTTCTCCCATGGCCACTGGGCATAGATGAAACAGCGTCGTCCCCTGCGCCGGCAGCATCCGTGTGCGGCAACGTGCGATTTGTGGCTCAGCCTGCAACAGACCCATGGTGTCAAGTATGGACAGTGGGAATCGCCTTCAAATCTGCCTGAGTCACGCCACAAATACCACATGGTGTTTTTCCTGCAGACCCAACGTGAGAGGAGGTGCTTGGACAACTTCCGGAGAAGCAGAGGTTTCATCTAGATGCCAAGACATAGGGGCAAAGAACAAGAAACAACAAAGCTTAGTCGTGTCAGCCGTGTTTCACACCCTGAGCCAGCGGAGAAGCGAGGCTGGAGTCAGGGGCTTTGTGTTTTGAGTTGAAAGCGATCCGTGTTCGTTGTTCCCTCGTTGAGGCCTGATTCTTCCTTGGGTTTGGTTCTTTCAGTTGCTCGGTCGGCTGGCTGGCTCGTTGGTTGGGCAGAGGCATTCGAGGGCGGCGGCCCAGCATCACCCAAATCAGCTGATGTACATTGCCGGCTGGGTGGGACTTGAACGTCGAACTGCTTGGTTTCACAAGCGCCTAGGCTCGCTTCTAGCCAACAATATAAACACAAACTCTCAGCCGTACAACCCCAAAGCGGAAACCGTTAAGCCCCTAAACCCTAAACCCGCAAAACCTTCAAATGCCTTTCATCCTAAACCCCTACACCCCACCTCAACATCTCTCAACCCCTAGCGGAGGCAAGACATGAGTTGGTGATGCCCGCTCAAGAGGCAGTCTCTGATTGATTTGGACGGTGGGTTTTTGTTCCATGCATATGGCTTGGTTCGCGCGACGTCTTCCAGTCGATTCTGCTTATTTGTGCTCGGCCCTCTTCTCTTGTCTATGAAGTCAGCCAAAGGAAGCTCTGCAGGATTTTTTGCCCAACCGCCTGGTTTTGGTGGGTCTTTGGCTCCGCGTCCTGTAGACTTCTCCTCCACGTTTTTGTTTGCTTGATTTTGCTCCCGCCCTCCTGCTTTTGTTCTGCGCTTGGCTCCCTGCCTCATGTTGGGATGCCCTCACGATAGGCTAATTAAACTGTGCATGGCACATGGTGCACAGGGCCAACTAGCAGTTCGCAAAGAGTAAAGATGCCCTTGGATATGGCCCCTTCATCGTGATGTCCTTGCATTTTCGGCATTTCATTTGCTTGCCGGCTTCTGTCGGGTGCCACCCTGGCATTGTCCCAACCAGTTCCCGCCGCTCTTCGCTTCGCTACTCTTGCTCGCCCTTTCCGTTGCTGTTCTTGCTTTCTGTCCGCCACTCGACTTAGTTTTGCTTTTTTTGCTCACTTTTTCGCGCCTCAGTGATGTTTGCTTGCTGCAATCCGCACAATCTTGAGCATCTGGCGTTGCTTTCTTGCAGGAGGTCCTCTAGCTTTCCTCTGCAGCTGTAAAGTACCACAGCATGGGTAGAGCCTCTCAAGTGCTGCGCGAGCGCGCAGGAGCGATGGAGCATCTTTCACAGGACGTTGTGGGCGGGAAGCTGACAACTGGACATGAACATGTCACCTGTTGGCGTGTTCTTTGGAAATCAGCACTGGTCTTCTCGGTATTGAATACGGTATAGTATTTGTTTCTTGTAGTGCATCTTGGGACTTCAGCTGTTAATTGTTTGCCTGTTTCACTTGCACGTACCACCTGTGCGGCAGCTGAAAAGGTGCTTTTGATCCAAGGGAAGTTGCTGCGCCTGTGATTTCGGAGTCCGGGGAGTGTCCCATTTCGGAGTCGGGATCCCTCACTTTGGGAAATCCTCTAACTCTCCACCAGGTCAATCCGAGGTCAACATTAATTTGTGTTGGCTGTTTCTGGTTATCGAAGTCAGAACCAAGGTCAGTTTCCCCTCAAACCTTCCAGGGGGTGGCGTTGATGATGGCCGAATGGGTCCTTTCACCAGTGCCCATGGTTCTGCGCATTTTCCAGGTCGCTTTTGAGCAACCCTGACTTCCCAGCCATTCTCCACTATGGCGCGAAAAGCCCTGGGGCTACAATCGCACTGCATCCAATCAATCAATCATGCATAGGTTTTTCGTGTTTTTTTCTCTGGGAAGGATGCAGTCCGCACCTTCTTCTCCCTGCGGTTGTCGCAGCTGGAACACTTCGAGTCTTCAGACCTCTCCGAGCCGGAGATCATGGAGGCACCCGATGCTTTGGAGGGTTCGGGTGTTTAACTAGGTCCCCCAGTAGTGCCCTTTTACCCCAACCTCTCTACTCGAGGACCTATCCTCAATGGCGTACCTCTGCAGATGTCCTTTTTGGCTTTGCTGTGTGAACTTTTGAAGATGCCCTTCCGGATATTGGGTGGTTTGTGAATATTCGCTTTGGGCAATCCTCATATATGTATGTGGCGCTGTGGTGTGGGTGTGGGGGCGGGTGCGAGCATGTGTCTCCTGCTGGCCAGAAGTCTTGGGCAAGATCCCCCATTATCTACTGGAACTGTGGCACCCTCCCAAAAAACAACAGCCTGGAGTCTCCATGACCCTTTAAAAATGGGGTCATCCCCCAAAATTCACGGGTCATGACCCCTTTTTCGAGTCATGGATTCTTCCAGGAACACACACGCCATCGCCCGAAGCAAAAGGTCGCCCGCATGCCCATGGCCCACAGATCGCAGGCCGCCGCCTGGCTGGAGGACGCCGAGGCCCAGTCCATGTTCGCCTGGATCGAGCGGGACGCCGAGGGCGGCAAGCGGCTCTCGCAGGCGACTCTCTCGAGGACCGGAAAAACCAAAATCGAGCGGTTTCGAAGCCTGGTCTCACTTCCTTCCTGGGCTTTAAACAGTTTTCGGGTTTGGACCATTTTAGTGGCGAATAATAAGTTGAGACTTTTGTTGGGCCAACTCAGGAAGTGAGGGGTGGGCGGTTGTCTCGCTCATCCCAAGGGTGATAAGCCTCCACTGTCCAAGCGAAAAGGGTGGCTGCAACCCGACGATTTGGCTTGCACCCGCCACATTCCAATCAACCATGGTCGTAGCCCGAGCGCCTGTGCTTGATGGGATTTGAGGTCGGCACAAAGATGAAAGCGCCGCTTTGGCCCAGATGTGAAAAACAGTTGTCCTTGACCGGGCCCCCACTTGAAGTTCCCCCAAACAGATTTATGTAAACATGACGGTCATTGGAAGTTTCTACGTTTGTATTCAGAAGAGTAAGTTCAGGAAGTACTGTTGATTGTATCGGCTAACCAGTCTTAAACTGGTTGGGTTCCCCTGTGTTGAGTTTGGTTGCCTTCAAAAGAGCCTTCAAAAAGATTAGCCTCAAGCAAAAATTGGCTTGACGAAGTGTAGCAGGACCGCTGCGTCAGAGAGCCGCGTGGAAGACCGACTGCCGGCACAGATTCGCAGAGGACTCCTTCCAGCTTCACTCATCAACTTTACAGGTCTTGGTAGGTGTTGGTGCTTGGTTTTTGTTCAAGGCAATCCCAAATTTTATGATACTTAGGAAATCCCCCTGGCAAGTGACGACATATCGCCCTCGCAAAGAGGGGCTTGACTTGCAACCTTACTCATGATCTACTTGTGGGGAATGAGCAGCTTTGGCAAACACATCCCGTGATTTCAATGGAGTAGCCATGCAGATTGGAATTCCGTGTGGGTATCACAGAAAGGCGGGGCCATTTTCCACAACCGCGACTCCTTTCGTGGTTTGGTTTCTCTGAGTCATCAACTAGAGCGCTCCGGTTTCACTGTTCCTCGAATACAACTTGCACTGTTTCCTCGACATCGCGTGACGGAGACGTTTATGGGAAATTGGCAGCTTCTAGCCTGCTTAGCAGTCTAAGATGATGACCTATTGGATGACTCATCCACATGGCAGCTGAAAGATCTGCCAAAAAGTCACACAGCTGCCCAGCTTGCCATTGCACTCGACCCCCCTTCTGGCTGGGCCAAGACAGCTTTCCAACTTTTGGGTGAGACTAAATAAACCAAAGACAGGAACAGGTCTGAACTTCTGTTTTCCAGGGTTTCAGCTTTGGTTGCTATGCCGTTTTTCGGTTTTTCGGGGCCCATTTGCCAGGCGCCTTTTTCGTCAGGAGCCGTGAAGGAGTTTTGCTACTTCTTCAAGAGAGAAGCGGACCAAGCGATCACATCCAGCAACCTGAATGAGCAGGTCCTCTTTGGATGCTCGAGAGGCAGGCGCTTTGGTACTCGAATAGTTGTATATGGGTAACGGGGCATGGTGAAGCCGACCCTTAGTTATGATTGTAGGAGCAAACTATTAAGTGTTGAGGCGCTTATAAGTAAGAGCTGGTTGCAACTGAGCCGGATGGATGGGAATGATGCCCTTGATAGCTGCTTGATAGAGGCAGGCTGCTTCTGTGAGCCTTCCTTGCGCTTTGTGAAGGGTGGCACCGGATTGGTCACGTGCTCCAGTGTTGCCGAACATTTGCCTATGGTAAAATAGTTGGGCATTTGCTGATGGATAGCAATTAGGAGCGTGCTGCTTTATGGGGGAGGGTCCTGAGCCTATGTGAGCCACAATCAAAACCCGGGTAGATGAAGGTTAGTAAGTGGCAGTCCCAGCCGGAAATAGTTGCGGCCGCCTTTCTAATTCTTGACATGGTTCTGGGTTCCCCAATTTGTGTACCAAGTTTTGATTGTGACTCATGTCTTCTTCTCGTCACCGTTGAGAGTGCAGTTTTCAGAGTGTCACTTTACAAGACCCAGATTTTGCAAGTTCGGGCGGATTTTGCGTGAGATGAGACTGCATGGCTTGCAACATTCCTGCGCCGATGTGCCCAATATCATGGCATGCTCTAATTATACGTTTAATTGCTTCATGGCATGAGCCATCATAGCTCTTGAGTTTTGCTTTCGGCCAAAATTTCTACAAGTCTTGGCGATCAGACAATCTTCATGTTTGGCCATGTTTGCTTTCTTGGTCTGACACAGACTCCAGTTTCTTTCTCAGGAGGGTTTGCGAGCCAAAAGGCTCTGGGTGCCACCCAGATCCGGGGTCAGCTTGCTGCCGCGTTGCTCGATTTGCAGGTCCCCTGCTGGACTCCCTCCTTAGCCAGATGAACAACATCTACGTGCCGGTTGCCCGAGCACAGAAATTAGATCTCCAAGACTCCCCTCAACTGGATGTGTATTTGAGTTTGCTCTTGAAGAATATGCCTATGTAGGGAAGTGTCAGCCGGCTGACACGGGTGGGTTGACAAGCTAAGGTTGCTTTAGCGGATCATGGCTGGCCAGACAACGTGCGCAAGGACCGAGCGTATCCACAACCGAGCCAGGTACTGTATCCCCAGCCAAGGAAGCCTCCAGCTTTCAGCTGGTCCGAACTGTGGAGCTACTTGGGCTCTGACAACCCCAGCTTTCGACCTGGCAAAGCAGAGGATGACGTTGACCCAGTTGCCCAGTTGGTTGCTGCCCCTTTTTGCTCCCATTTTTTTGGGGGAAGGGTTCCCGTTTTAAAGTCAACCAAACAAAGAAGAGCGCCCCGTTTTTCCCATGGCCACTGGGCATCTGAGTTTTTTTCTGGAAGGCTTCAGGTGGGGCGCCTGCTTCTCTTTTCGCCAGGAGTTTACCTCCCAAGTCCAGAACTTTATGCTGACGGTCACGGCCATGACGCATCAAGGCAAGGGAAGCACGGTCCTGTACATTCCTCAGGAGAGGCTTGGAAAGCGGAGAGGTCGCGCAGGAGGTCCCTTCAGCACAGATGTGCAGTCTTTCTAGACCATCTAAGCCTGGTTCTACTTTAAGAAGCTATGGAGCGAGCATGTTGGAGTCAATTGATATGTCGTCGGAGGATTTCAATTGGGCTCTTCCAAGCCAGACGCGTCAGGACAACTTTGCCAACCTGGAAGCTGCTTCGAAGGACAAGGATATTGTTCAGCGCGGCTTAGCTGTCCAGGAGTCTAGAAGTCATGCACAGCCTGGTCTTTCGCTTAATCTCTTTAGTCTCTTTCGTGGCTGAGAACAAGGAAGCCCGTCAGGGTAGATACAGAAGTCTCCTGAAATCATGATGGCAGCTCTGCTCATATCGCATGCTCAGAGGAAATCCACGCCTGTTGCCTTCTGGCATACCCGGGTGCATCTCCGTGGTTGATGACCAGAGTTGCAAGGATCGTGACATCAAGGTTGACTAAGACCAGATTATCAGCACGACCTTTGCTCCAGTTTTCATGAGCATGGACAACACGATGTTGACCAACTTGTGTGCCTCGTGCCCAAGGTTTGAAAGTCGCGCTGATCCACTGGCACCGGCAAATCAAGGAAGTGACCACGCAGCAGGAGCCAGGGAGCCAGTCGCGAGTCGCGTCCGGAAGATAAGTCGGTTTCTTCACTCAAGCAAAGCTTCAGGACGGGCAGGAAGTCATAAACTTGAGCCAAGCCCTCTGTACTGAGCCTTTCTCTATTTGTTGTTGGGCTCCCTGATTGAAGCCTGTTCTGAGTCTTTCTTCTCTCCCTTGAAGCCTGTTTGTAGTGGAGTTTCAACAGCCGAGTGAGCTGACTTTCCAGCAATATAATTCTAATTATGATTTCAGCTGCGGAGAAACCGCCAAAAGAGCAGAGCAGGCCCAGCTTGGAAAAAATGTGGCACAAGTGTGACCTAGCAAATACCTCGGGTGGAGTCCCCCAAGTGTTTGGTGGCTTGGACACTTGGACCCTTGATGAAGTCTATGTTTCACACTTTCACTTCCTCAATTCGGCCATGGGCGCTTCCACTACGCGCCTGACCGGTGTACCCCGATTCCTTGACCAGCCGCATGCTCGAAGACTTGAAGCGAAGAGGACTCGGCCAATGAGGGGGAGAACAACGGCCCGCTGGACGAGATCGAGTTCTGGAACGCGCGCGATAAGACGCTTAGAAATGGTTTTCGGCGAGCCTGCAGTGAACCTGCCCGAAGAGCAAAAGCAAATCGTTCATGACCAGCCACTGGTTGAGACGGTTCGTTCCTGGCTTTCGGATTTCAGGTTTCGCCTATTTGGGGCTTGGACTGATAGGTCATTTATCCGTATTTCACATACTTTGACCACTTGACCGTGACCACGTGCCTGGTAAAACCTCAAGCAATGTGCAAAGGGAGGGGCATGGCATAGGTGCAACACATACAAAGTCTTGAGGTACATTTCCCTAAGGTTGACCCCGGATTAATAAACCCCTGTTTATGAATATAGGGGTGTCCCCGGTTTTAGTGGGGGTTTATCACTTTTGGAGGGGAACACCCCTATATTGATAAACAGGGGTTTGTTAATCCGGGGTCAACATTATGGCTGGGCGGAATTGCATTTTGTTTCACCATGGTTGTTTGACTATGTTGTGTGTATATTTTGCTTTGACCGTACGGTAGACCAAGATGGCCATTGGTCAAAAGCCCGTACCCCTAGTGAGCATCCCAAGCCCCACTAAATTAGGTTCCATAATGGGTGTTGAATTCGCCAAAAAAAACGCCCGAAATGGGATCCCGAAACGGTTTTGACCACCACAGCCAAATGAGTGGCCGCCTTTTGTTTCGTTTCTCCGCTT